ATATATAGTTACAGTGGCCAATCATCTCTAAACTTAATGCATATGACCTAAACAAAATAATCTATTAGTCATGGAGTCTCTTTAAAAAAAATACTAACTTACGGTATGAATGTTTATACAGAAAACATATCATGTACCCATAATTATTAGATCAAACCTTACTTTGAAAAGGAAAGTAACTTTATTCAAATGTACTCAATGAACAAGTGTCATGGTTATGCATAGCCTTAAGATACGGTAGTTGCATTTTATTTTTTATCTGGGGGTGTGCAGTGAGCATGTGTGAGTGTGTGAGTGTGTGACCCTTAACACGCATATTAAGATTTCTATAATACCACATATATGCAGTAAAATGGATACTGGCAGTTAAAAAAACGTGCTGAACAGACAAGTTTATAATTATGACGTGATGCTAACAGGCCTATTTTTGTGTGTTGCAATTCTAGATTTACACAGCTCAATACAGTAGTCCCTCGATACTTCATGGATCGTTTATCGCCGACTCGCTCTATCACGTTTTTTCAAAATAAGAAAAATATATATATACATATGTGTGTGTGTATAAATAAACTACTACTTATTACTTGTACAACTATTCCTATTTTGCAGTTTTTCACTTATTGTGGGGCTTCAGGGTGCGGATCCACCGCGATAAACGAGGGACTACTGTATCAGTAAATACAATTTTACCAAATGCAGCACTAATAAAGATCTGTTTCTATCCATTTTCTATTTTAAATCTTAAACTATGTACTCAGACATGCATGTCTTCTAATATCCATGATGTGGTGCTGTAGCACACCCTGCACCCTGACTTCCCTTGGTCTTGTGTTTTGCTAGAATCTTTGACTCCACTTCTCCTTTTCTTATTTCGTTCACTGCAGCAGCATCATGGTGTCCTGCTGTCTGTTTTGTTTAATTTGGTAATTGACTCTTTAGAACAGTTAGAGCAGGAGAAACACATGTTGCCAAACATTATTCTCCTTTATCATCACCGCCTTTAAGCCTGTGGAAACTTTTGGCCATGCCATCATTATGTAAGCAAAAGTTGCAAAATAGTTTCTGCTATTTTAATTTTAATAGAAATGTGTAAAAATCAGGTGCATAAAATAATATTAGGGCTTTTGGTATTGAGTACTTTAGCTTCAAATACAAATGTTTATGAAAAGTAAACCGTTGTTCCTTGCAGGTCCACTTTGTGCAATCTTTTTCTGATTGTGGCACTGACAGAAAAATATGTAAATTATGTGATAAAATATTAATATTGAATAATTTGCTTTGGCTTAAATCATTTTAACTTTTGAGTACTGTTTAAAAGTGGATTGAGTGTATGATGTGTATATTTACAAAAAATAAAATTAATCAAAAAACTATTTAACTGTTTTTTTTTCTCTCTTCAAACAAATGTGTTATAATAAGATGAATTCAATTAGTTTTGACTTGAAAAAGGTTATTTTCAGTCCACTGACAATTTATATTAAATATACTACACATTTGCTTGGAATAAACCTAAATGTATTATTTTCTGTAAAGTGACTTTTATATTTACTTTTTATAGATGTCTAAATATGTGTTGATATACAGTATTCTAAAGGAATCCATGCAGTGATTCGTTTAACTTTTTAACAATTGAAAAACACTTTTAACAACGACAGATGTTGGAAGATTTTGTCTCAGGTTTTAATTGTTCCATAATTTGTTTTATTGTAAAGTTTGCCAACAAAACTGGAAATTCAAAATAAAATCCTCAGATTTGTACCTTGCTTGTCGGTGAGCCTTTCATCAACCTGCATGAGCCCAAACTTACCTTTCTGTTTAAGCTCGTCACTCAGACACGAACAGCAGTAATTAAAGCTGACACAGAGTTTAAAGCAGAGCCCTGAAGCCCAGTCTGACAGGTCTGCGTGCAGCTGACAGCAGAGGCTGCTCCCGGAAACACGCGCGTCAAGTTCAAAACAAAACCGGAAGTGGAACAATTCGCTTTTCAAAAGAAAAGTGGGTAGTGAGAGTTTGTCCAGACAGGTTAAAATTAACCGAAAATGAAAGTGAAAGTTATGGAACGTTGAATAATAATAACAATAATAGCAATAACAGTAATAATAATAATAATATATAACAACAAATACTTTTTCTTTCGGCTCTCCCTTCATCAGGGATCACCACAGCAAACTAAGTCCCACAAAGACTTGACAAATATTTTTATGCTGGACGCCCTTCCTAATGCAACAGACCACCGAGCTACCGCAGCCCTCTGTGTGGAGCAAAGAGCTGACAGGGCGCCAGGGGGAGCAGATGGTGAAGCTAAGGCCTTGCTCAAGGGCTCAGAGTGGGGGCAAATGAAGGTGGAGACAGGTGTTAATGCTTCACCTTTCCCACCCACATTTTGATGTTGTCGGTACCAGGAATTGAACCAACGACCTTCCGACCACAGGCCCTCCTTCTCTAACATGCCCACCACTCCCTAACACTATAATAATAATAATAATAATAATAATAATAATAATAATAATAATAATTATTATTATTATTATTATTATTATTATTATTATTATTATTATTATTATTATTATTATTATTATTATTATTATTAACAAACACATAATAATAATAGCAGCACGGTGGCGCAACTGGTAGAGCTGCTGCCTCTCAGCGAGCAGGTCCCTGGTTCAAACCCCGGTCCAGGGGCCTTTCTGGGTGGAGTTTGCATGTTCTCTCCGTGCATGAGTGGTTTTTCTCCGGGTACTCCGGTTTCCTCCCACAGACCAAAAACATGCATGTTAGGCTGATTGGTAACTCTAAATTGTCCCTAGGTGTGAGTGAGAGAGTGAATGGTTGTTTGTCTCGTTTGTCTCTATGTGGCTCTGTGATGGACTTGCGACCCGTCCAGGGTGTACCCCGCCCCTCGCACAGTGATTGCTGGACATGGGCACCGGCGACCCCCGTGACCCAAAATGGAATAAGCGGGTAAAGAAAATCGATGGATGGATGTTTTACTGTTTAAAACATATGAGGTGAAAATAATGTGTTGGCGGATATATTAATCTATATGAATAAAGGTATATGTATAAAATGTATGAATAAAGGTTAATATATAAATGTTGATGTACAATGTATAAATAAAGATTGAATGAATTAATCTACAGAAAATGTAACAAAACAAATGAAATGGATAAATTTTTTTTCCCCATGTAATTAAACATAAAAGCATTGTTGCGACAACGGAAACTAGTTTTCAGTGGATGAACAAATATCAATTTATTAAATAATAGTTTTACCATCAAAATAATAATAATAATAATAATAATAATAATAATTATAATAATTATAATAATGATAATAAAATTCTCCAGCATTATAAAACAATAAGTGACTTTTTTCCCCACCTATTTGTTTCAGAGTAAAGTTCTTGTGACAGCCAGAACCAGATCTTAATTTACCAGTGATGGCTGAAAAAATAAACATTGAAACATAAATTAAACAAATAAACTAAACATAAATTAGTCTGATTTTATTAACCGTCGTTACAGGTATGGGCTATTTCTGCGGTTCAACCAACCGGAAGTCGTGTTTCTGTGATCACAGCAAACTTGACGATTATTATTAAAAAAAAAAAAAAAAAGCGGAGCTGCAGCGAAACGCCCCGACTAAAGAGAGCGGAGAGGAGAGGAGGATGGGAGTCGCTTTTATCCCACTTCTATGACCCATATCTCCCAGCAGACCCAGTTACCACTTAGCCTGCTTTTTTGTTGTCGAGGGTTAGCTCCGCCAACATGTCGGCGTCTGCGGTGTTTATCCTCGACCTGAAGGGAAAGGTAAGTTTGGGGCGACTTGTTGGAGGGGAAGTTGACATTTTTACAACGAGGCACCTGCGGCACACAGGAAGGAATTATTCAGGTCTGAGCTCCAGAAAACACCCAAACTCAGACAGAACCCACATGAAGCAGCGTGATGGTGCACGCTGCTTGTTTTTTAGGAGAAAAAGTCTCTGAATGAGCCTGAAAACTGACAGGAAGCAGACAGGAAGAGAAACTTGTCAAACTCGTTTATTCTTTGAGCACGCGCGCGCGCGCGCGCACACACGCTTGTTCTCGTGCAGCGAAGCAGCCCTTATTATTAGTGATGATGTGTCCTATTTCCAACTTTACAGCTTCACGCTTGACAGCCCTAACAGGTTAAACCACATGCACTGTAACCTACATGTTTTTATTTGATGCACTGAACAGACCTGCAGAGATGCTTCTAACTTAGATCAATGAGTAAAAAAAAAAAAAATGGTGTAGGAAATTAGCCAGATCCCCAATTTCTACTTAGAGGACCCATCTCTCTACCATAAACTACAATGGAGTCTACTGTGTCTGTTAGCAAAATATCTCATGAACAAATGGATGGATTTTATTGAAACTTCCAGAAATTATTCACTGGGTTTACATCTACAACTGATTAACTTGTGGATCAATGTGCTGGTGTAGAGTCTAAGTAATCCAAGACATGGCAAATCTAAACAACTGTAGTTGATGACTTTTTTTTTTTTCCAGTCAAAAGAACTTTCTCAATAAGATACAATGAATCAAGCTCTCTGGATGGCATGTGAAATGTTTTAAATTACAGAGTAAAAGTCCACTTGTGTGTTTGTTTGTTTATGTTTTGTGATGACAAGAAAATCTACGATCAAAATGACATAGTAAATGAATTCAGTGAATATTTTGTGAATGTTGGCCCAAGTATTGCAGCTAAAATACCAAATGTAAATAATGATGTGAGTCATACAGTCATGGGCTGTGCCAACAGCATTTTTCTCGGATAAAGAAGAAATACTGAGTATTGTGAAAAATCTTGCAGATAAAAGATCAAAAGGCTGGATGGACATGGACATGATGTTTGTAAAAGATATAACGAGTTATGTTTTTGAACCATTTAACATTTTCAACAGGAACATTTCCAGAAAATATGAAAATAGCAAAGGCAATTCCTCTTTATAAGAATGTTGAGAAATGTGTGTTCACTAATTACAGACCAGTATACTTGTTGTCACAATTTCCAAAAATATTAGATAAATAATTTGTAACCAGATTAGATCAAATCATAAATAAACTGAATATTTTAAGTACTAGTCAATATGGGTTTAGAGCAAAAATGTCAACATCAATGGCTCTCATGGAAGAGATAACAACTTATCTTGATCAAAAACAGTATTGTGTTAGTGTTTTTGTTGATTTAAAAAGGCCTCCGTCACTACTGACCACACCATTCTCCTTGAAACACTGAATAAATATGGCATTAGAGGATTAGCACTAGTTATTTGAATAATAGGAGACAGTTTGTACAGGTAAACGATGTAAGATCTGAACTGTGTGTTAATGGATGTGGAGTTCCTCAGAGCTATGTGTTGGGACCAAAGTTGTTTATTTTGTATGTGAATGATCTGATTGATGTGTCGGGGCTTTTGAAGTGTGTTTTATTTGCAGATGATGCCACATTTTTTGTTCGGCTTAAGATATTGAACGGATTTTAGAGAAGCAGAATTTGAAAAAACAAACTACATGATATTTAGTAATAGAAAATGACTGAAGTCCCATTTAAAATGGACAGTATTGAAATTCATAGAGTTAATGAAATAAAATGTTTGGGTGCTGTTATTGATGAGAAGCTGACATGGAAATTTCATGTAAATTACTTAAGAATAAAAAGAGCAAAATCAGTTGCATTACTGTATAAAGTAAAATAGTTTTGTATATATTGTATAATGTAATGATTGTTCCACATTTAATCCATTGTATTGAAGTTTTGGGAAAAGCATGCTAGATTATTAAAATGTTATGATTTGGTTGAAAATAGCATTTTGTATTTTGCAAGTCATGTATAAAACTCATAAAAATATTACCCCAAATATTCAGTTAAACTTTGTTTAAAAATAGAGTCAATATAACTTTAAGAGAATGGAAATGTTTGTAAAACATCCAGTTAGAACTAGTCTATTTTTTTATTTTTTAAGTAAGGGGCAGATATTAAAATAAGTTTTTTCTTCTTTCTGCACCCTTTTCATTCCGTGTTTTTTATTTTATTTTTATGAATGTGTTTTTTTTATATAAATGAATGAATACATTTATAAATGAATAAAAAAATAAATAAATGCTCAACACATTTCCAGATGACTGCCACAGCTGATTGAAATTAACCAACACACACATTTCCAGGACATCCTTGTAAAAGAGATTGATGATCTCAATGGATTTCTTCCTGGTAAAATAAAGTAATAATTATTATTTTTTTAAACATAGCTATAACTCAGTCTGTTTTATGGATAATGAGTTAAAATTTGGTGTGGTAGTACATGAGAGTTATACACAGTACACACTCTGAGGTCTTTCATATCTCACATAAGATTGTGCATAATATTATTTACAAGGTTTGACCAAAATGGCTACAACTCCGTCTCTTCTCATCCTCATAAGATCTTATTCTGTATTTTCTAACAGATGAATATGCATGCCTTCAAATAATGCCAGGCCTTAATTATTTATTGCCTCCATAATTATTCAAGCCAACAATTCTTACAAAAAAGTTTGCTGTTTCTCTGATTTAAAAAAAAGAACTGCAGCCAGTGACTTCCTTTTAATCAAAACTATTAATTTTCTTTCATTCAATTGTTGTCGGAAACTCGTGGAAACCCCATTTGCAGACTGTTGACAGTCGGCCGGGTTTGTTTCCTCAGCTGTCCCAACCAGCAACGTTTGTTTTAAAGCAAAGAAGAAAATCTGGGGAAATTGACTGTGACTCTGTTGGAACCATGATTTTTGTTTACCCCCGAAGAACCATTACAGAAAATCTTACTGCTTTCAGATAAAAAAAAAATATCAGTTTATCCTTTTTATCTATTCTTCAATAAGCCAAATTGAAAATGTCTGGGCTACATCAATTTTTACAATTTTCTGACATTTACAGACCACCTGATGGATGGAAAACATGCCTGTCAGTTTAATCGATGATGACACGTTCCCGGAGTGACTATAGGGCCAGGACAAGAATTGCTGAGTAGTCTTATCTGCTTGACAATAAACCCCATCAGAGGCGAGGAGCATCCCTTCAAAACCTTGATGCCTGATTGCACTGAATACTTTCTGTCTCTCTCTTTTGCCATCTATGCCCTGAGGCTAGTTAGTAGTGTTTCATCATTTAGCCACTCTGCCTCTGGCTATGTCCTGATCAGACAAGTTCCTCTATTACAATACTGGAGGAAGAAAAAGGGACTGGAGTGCAGAACAGGGTTAACGCATTCAAAGTGGCGCCGTACATAAAAACTATCATTTAGCCAATCTCTTGAGACAGAAACACAAACCTATTATGCACAAATAGACACTTTATCATTTAAAGACTCTTCTGAGAATGCACAGAAACTTTCACCTCCGCCCTCTATCCCTCCATCATCAGCCCTGGCCTCTTTTTCGTCTAACGCACCGGTCTGCGTACAATACTGGCTGCATGCACCGAAATGTCAAGCCTTTGAAATCAGCATCCCATCATTTACTCCCACAGCTTTCTAGTAGGATTGCTAATAAGTGAGCATGCTCAGGCTCAAGTTCTGGATCGTCATGAGAAAGGGCAAACGATTTCAGCTGGAAACTGTGGTCAGAAACATTGACGTTAAAGGTCGAGCTATAACCATCGTGGTTTAGGCACTTTTGATGATGAATAATGATTAAATGGTAAATGGACTGTACTTATACAGTTCCTTTCCATCTGATCAGGATACTCAAAGAGCTTTACACTATAGTCTGCGTCCTCATTTACCCATTTGTACAGTTCTCTACTACATCTATACAAAGATTAATCAGTGCTTTATCACATTCATACACTGATTCATACTTTTCTTAGTTCATATCTTGGATGTTATTACTGTTTTTCTTATACATTTTATTGTTGGATGTAACTGGGACCCTGTGTACATAATTTCGCTCCACCACATGTACCACATGAGGTGCGAATGACAATAAAGAAACTCTCTGACTCTGATGGGACACACATCAGAGTCAATGAGAGGTTCAGTGTCTTGCCCAGAGACAATTCGGCACGTGACTGCTGGTGGAATTGAACCCCCAACTAGGCCTGTCATGATAACAAATTTTGCTGGGCGATTAATTGTCTCAGAAATTATTGTGATTAACGATAATATTGTTTGAAATTTGACAATAATTAGTAATTACTGTCATATTTAAGAAGAAATGTAGGTAATTTGTTTTGTGTGTAGTACATTTTTTGACCACTGGATGGCAGTATAAGACAGTTTGAACCGAAGGATGGATAGTGAGGGAGTGAACATCGTGTCTCTTTAAGAAAAATTGAAGGGAGGCCCCGTGACGTGACATGGACTGTCTCTCCTTCCTTTTTTTGGTTCTCAAAACGGTGGACACTCGATGTGGTTTGAGCTCTTTAGCATAGCATTTGTCACACAAAGCTTTTAATAAACAAACTCAGTAAACAAGTTCTCATCTTCTTTTTGCAGAGAAAAAAAGTTTTTTTACATGAAGGCACGGGTTTCAACTGTGAATTTTGGAACTTCGACAAGACGGAGGTTTTGCTTAGCTGCTTTTAACGATCCAAAAACACAATTTTGGACAGTTAAAACAGATTTTAACCTCCTAGAACCTGCACATATGTGGACAACCCGGCATCCACATATGCATGTCATGCAAGAGTTCGGATCTTAGTAGGTTAAAGAGAAAAGAGAAAGGGAGGGGTCAGTGAAGAGCACCGGAGTTGAGCCTTTTTGTCATCCAGTGTCTTCAGTAGAAAGAGAGAGACACAAAGAAATGAAAAAGCCGATAAATGAAAATGAGGTTGATAATTTTCATTTATCATGCGATTAATTGATTTATCGTTTTATCGCGACAGGCCTACCCCCAACTCTTGCAGTGAAGGACGGCTGCTCTAACCACTCAGCCACAGCCACCCCACAAAGCCCACAATCAATGTTTGATGATTAAATTATTAAATACCCCCAACAATGTATTATTTCTTAATAATATGTCCAGTTGTTTCACTCTTTGTATTTATTATATCAGACAGTTCAAAATAGTCAACACTGGATCATAAATGTACAAGTTTTATCCATTATTGACTCATTTTGATCAGTTTGATGGCTTTTGAGATGGAAATGTCGGGCTGTTGGTTGGATCTTTGCTCTTGCGTGAAATGTCTGGACTGAGATGATTTCGATCAAATTGTGCGCTGACATTCATGGACCCCAGAGGGGGAGTTCTCATCGCCCTGCAGATGCCCTTTTTGTTGCAGATGCGCCTCTTCTTGCCATTTTTCTTGTCTTTTCATTTTGCATCTAATTCTGAACTGATCCAGTAGTTTGGGTTGTGCCAACATATTTTAATTATTAAATAATTTTGAGAACTTATAGGGTATTTGTAGATGGATGTTTCACTTTTAATAAAGCATTAAATTCTCATCCAGATAACAATATCTATTCCAAGTCCTAAACGCTAAAGTTGGAGTGAGCATTGCTTTTCACATCAAGAATGTCCTGTAATCAGACCGGTACTGGAATTATGCAGATTGATTTTAACTGTTATTTGTTTTCCAAAGTGTTCATGGGTTTTAAGAACAGACGTTAGCGTTGCTGGGAATTTTTTCTGGTCCTGTATGACTTTGGGCCACTCCCCAATGAGGGTTTACTAGTTCCTGTTTGCTTTTGAGGTCAGCAGAGGGAATCTCATTGATTTCTCTCACTGGATGCAGTCGGGCGGCACGGTGGTGCAGTTGGTAGATCTGCCACCTCTCAGCAAGCAGGTCGCTGGATCGATTCCTGGCCGGGGGCCTTTCTGAGTGGAGTTTGCATGTTCTCTTTGTGCATGCGTGCATTTTCTCCAAGTACTCTGGTTTCCTCACACAGACCAAAAACATGCATGTTAGGCTGATTGGTAACTAAATTGTCCCTAGGTGTGAGAGAGTGAGTGAATGGTTGTCTTGTTTGTCCCTGTGATGGACTGGAGACCTGTCCAGGGTGCAGAACCATGCTCAGGACAAGCGGCCATTTGCTTTGACCGGCTGGGTTTGGTAGGAACAGATACACAATGGCAGGTCAAGAATCACATGTTAAGATATAAATAGTATCAAATGAAAACTGTTCAATTTTAGCAAATCATTTATGGAAATGAGGTCAATTTGTCTAGTAGTTTGATAAGTATAAGTATTTTTATCTTAAAAAACATTGACCTCTTGGTAAGCTCCCTGTGGGATCCCATATTAAGTTTATGGAAATGCCATCAAAACCTAGAAACATCCAGAAACTGGATGTTTTAACAGTGGTTCAATTTGGGGATTAAAAAAACACCTTCACGCTGAATTTCAATGAGACCTGGATTATTAATTGGCTTTAGGACAAACATTATTTTGACTGTTTGAGGTGTTCTGTTTGATGTGTTCTACCTCAGCTGAATATATTCACAATCTGATGTTTTCCTTTTTTTAATTTGACACACGTTTGAACCAACATGATACGACTGTGATGAACTGATTCTCACACATCCAGGAGTTGAAGCAATTGCCTCCTCAGATCATGTTTTTGATTACAATCTGCAAAGTTTTAATTGTCACACACTTTATGTTTTTGTTCTACTTTAAAACAGAGAAATGGCTAACTGGGTTCAACACTGTTCAGTCAGGTCATCTGGACGGTTTATTTTTTAAGCTGAGACGTTTTATCCTTCATCCAAAGGACTTCTTCAATCTGAGGAGCCACCAAACAAAACTAATTCACACGACAACAAATGCTGGTGCTAAGATGCCCC